TATTTGATGGTTTTGGATGCCTTCGAGCGTTTATTTTAATGTCCATTCATAATTATGTCCGTTCCTATAATTATAAGGTAATCATGGCCTAACCCCCTCCCCCCCCGGCCCCCCCCCCCCCCCCCCCCGCTGACTAGTTTCTCTGGAAACACTCTTTACGTTTGATGCTACCCTGATCATAATGAGCCGAAATCATTGTTATTTTATCCGGCCAATCACCTTCTATTTCTAAACCAGGCTTGTCCGCCGTGGCTAAACCAGTCGGCGGCAGTGTGAGCCCTAAACCTACCGGCGCCACCGGCGTGAGATCGACCCTTAAAAACTAAAATTAGGTCTGTTATCATGGTTTTTGCCCGGCAATTTGAGTAAGTTTGAAAAAATTTGATTTTAATCTTATTTATTCATTTATCTTATTTTTCAATCTGAAATTGAATTTTGAATGGAGCTTTCAGATGATCATACGGAAAAATTTGATTTTACATAATTCACGCCACGCCGTCGTACGCCGGGGTGGTTGGTACCGGTGGTGTGCGGTGTGGTCAAATTGACCGGCGGTGGCGGGCAATCCTGTTCTAAACTACTGACTATAGTCGGATATCCGATCAATTTCTAAATTTTTACATTATCAGAGTAAAAATGGAATTTGAATTAAAATGTTGTCAAATTGTTACTATTCTAGCATCTAGAGGGTAAAAACAAATTAAAATGTTGATGTAATCAACAACCAACCCCCCCTGATCAACCGTAAGCATTTGGTACCCCCCCCCCCCCCCCCCCCCCCCCGCTGGCTGATTACACGTAATATGTGAACGATCCCGTAATTAAATTTCTCATTTACAATATTTAGTATAGACATTTATTAGTATAGTATTAGTATTTATATATATTCGTGATTACAAACTTGATTTCTTTAAAAGGTTTACGCAGTTGCCGCTTTCGAGACAATGTGGGAGAAGTTGAGGGAGCTTCACAAAAGTAACAGCGGAGCTGATTTTAATCCTGACCTATACGGCAACCTTGATGATGAGAATCTTCTGGATGAGAGGATTAAGTCGAAAGCCGAATATACTGCCTTTATGAGGTTATTATATGTTATTTCTAATACTATATAGATTCTTGAATTATAATTAAACAACCTGTATGAGGAGATATGCAACATTATCAATAACAAGTATCGGCAAAAACGTTTATATTTGCAAATGGTCTGGCAGCTTCGTCATAAGTAAAAGTTGATATGTGAAATAAACATTTTCAGTACAATAACGGACATGGTCTTGAATCACGTTCTAAATCTGGCGGGAACAGAATGGGCAAGTAAAGAGAATAAGTGTGACCTATGCGGAAAGGTGTTCAGAAGAGCAAACACCCTCCATAAACACCGAGCAAAGGTACATAATGCTCAACCACCACCAGCAGCAGATACGGAAGATGGCCGGTAATAATACATGCTTACAATTTGAATACATTTTTACAGTTGGTGCTCATATAACTTTCAGTATGAATTTGGTGTGGGTCAGTATCAATCTCTACACTGGAACTTATAAATTCTTTCAAAAGGCTCTTTAACCATCTCAAATCTATTTACCTTTGAAAGGTGATTCCTGGTCCATGTGTTTAGTGTAAATTGATTTATCCGTCAAGTGTCCGAGGCTAACTAATTAATTTATTAATTAAGTGATAATACAGTTTCTTAATGTGACATTTACGCTCGCCAGGTTTAACTACTGCGTGTCGCTTATGTTCAACATCCTCTTACTGAAGAATCACGACGACGCCATCAAAGAGGGTGATGCTGACCGACAAGAACTTTGCCTGAGATTTATGCTAATGTTCTTCCGAAAAAAAGGGAAAAAAAAGTATGAACTATAGGCGTACCATTAGCTAAAACAATGTTCTGTCTCAATGATGCTTTGAAATGTTATATAAAGTTATAAGGACTGCCATGGTATCAACTTTCCTTTCGAGTATGCAATTCTTAATTCAATACGTTATGAATTTCAGTTACGTGAATGTTTGTTTGAGGAGGCTTGCATTAAATAAGGTAACTTTGTCTGCTCAAGCCGAACACGCTCTTAGACACAACGCAACAACAGGTAAACAAACTGCATTTTGTCATAACGCTTTTCCGTACAATTTTTTGAAACTTATAATATGGTATTCAATTTTTGTTTTTACTGTGCCTTACCGTTGAAAAATAAAATCACTCAGCAGTCAGCAACAACAGACAAGATTACAGAACTGCAGTTCACCTCATCACGATTCACGGGTCACTGGCCACTGCGGCTTAAACAAACACCTTCACACCATTTGAAAATCTAACACCAATGGTTGTCCTATGTGCGGCGACGGAGAGGATACTGTCTCACACTTCCTTGGACAGTGTCTGGCTATTGCCCAAATTACTAAAATAAGAGGTCAATATTTCCAGGACTACTACCTCTCTGTCAATGACATATTCGACAACCAACAGTCAAACACATCACCACGATTATCAAATTCGCAAACCGCACCAAACGCTTAATTGTGCCGGAAGAGTTGGATCAGACCGGAGTGACTTAGAGTATTAACTCATATGCTGTCTCGTCTCATTTTACTTTTCCAAACCCAGTTGTCACTTAAGCGTATCATTTTGACTCATGTCATTTTTTACAACATCCTCAACCATTCAATCTGATTTCACTGGCAACCTTCCCCAGGGTTGCCACACCTCGTGGGCTAACTTGGCCCAGTCTCTCTTTAAAAAGATTTAAAAAATCGATGCAAATTTGTTAAGCATTTTGCCTTACAAGGATTACGTGAAGGAGCTGGGAATAGAATTCCAAACGATTTGCTGTGCGAACTGCACAATAATCTAATAAAAAAGACGGTGAGAAAGAGAACTGTTCCTGGCTTAAAAAAAGCGTCTTGTACACTTGGACTGACTACAAAGTGTAGAGCGCAATTTGAACGTTCTTGTAAAGGTTAGTAATTAAATAGTATATATAAAGTGATGAGCATCATTGTGCTGGATAGGTATCCGTTTCCGAAAAACTTAAGTTTTAAACAACAATTCTCGTTGAGTGGAATATAACACTGTTGGGACTGTACATTACTATTAAACAGTATAGATAAGCAGCTTATATCGTTACTGTTGGCATAGCAATAACATATTTTTATTTCGTTTTAGGGGTGAAGAAAAGGCGACCGAAGAAGCCGCTCAGAAACGTGCGGGAACTAATCGATGCGGTCAAAGAAGACAAAATATTTGTCAAGAGCCCTGGTAGAGTTGGCTTCCCAGGGTTTGAAAACCTGAAAGCCAACTTTCTCTTTGACGAAAGCTGCCGGGTAAGTTATTTTGCCATTAAAGGTTGTAAGGCCGGCAATAGGCATTAGGCATTGTAGTTTCTTGAGATCAAAAAACTTGCCTTTTTATTCGGACGATAAATTGATCATTGAATATTGATGCAAATTCTCATAACGAATATCTTATCATTACGGCTAATAATAATATGTTTTATTTCAGGAGGATATATACAAGGTCGTGGACAAGTTCATTATAAAGCTTTTAAAGAAACTGGGGATTACCCGGCCTGCTAGTGATGATAAAGACGCGTCCGATGATGACGAAGAGGATGTAGAGGACACCGATTCAGAGGAGTCGAACTACGAATCCGATGTAACAGAAGATGACGAAACTGATAGTGATGAATATGATAGTTGCTAAGTGAACTACTATTATATTATGCTGGCTGATTATACTAATTCTATACTTTATACATATAAAGCTATAATGCTATTTTATGACTACTTCAAGTTACAGTATTTTACCCTGTCAGTTGTACCGCGTATACGATTCAAATTGGACACTATTGTGAGGGGATTTCAGAGGGGATTTGTATCGAACAATGTTTTTCACTGGCTATGTATTACTTGACAATTTAAGAACTAACAAGGAAAGTTTTGTACCTTAAGGATTACATTAAACAATGGTATTATAAGCACCTTCCAAGTATCAAAACTTTGTAAAATTTAGAGGTGGGATTTGGACTAATCTACTTACACTTAGGTTAGGTTATATACTTTATGGAAACGTCTAGTTCTGCGGAAAGCTTGCTCTCGTTACAAGGTAAGCTTTTTATATCATTATGAGCAAATTGTAAAAGTTCGCATAGATGCTGTTAACACTTATGACTGTCGCGTGACCTTAGGATTGACTGTTGAATCGGATTGATCAGCGTAAATACGAAAACCAATTAAAGTATGATTAATATTCCCATTTTGTTGCTATATTCCATATATTCTGAACAACTGACAATTCTCAAACATTTATTATTGTTAATTCTCGTCAAATAACTGTCAGTCACGTAGGGGTGTAGAAAGCGGGCAGGGGGTGAATTTGGTCTTCAGACTTTAAGTGTACAGGAAAAATGCGCGATTTCTCGCGGAGAACTGAAAAAGGAGGAGGATCTGAGAAAATCGCGGCAAACGTGAAAAATCGCGATTTGCTGCAGAAAATGTGAAAATCGAAATTCTGCACGTGCCGCAATTTCAATTTGTCGTTCCCAATTCTTGTGAAACGCCAAAAAATTCAAGCTGTAGCGCAAAGCACTAAAAATATAAATAGGATTTGCCCCCCCCCCCCCCCGTCCCCCCATGAAGACAATTATTCCTACACCCCGGCTCACACATCTTTCAAATATAGAAAATAATAGTAACTGTCACAGTGTGTAAAGACGAGGTTAGTAAGTTCAACATGGAGCTAAGGGATGACCAGGTATCTATTTTGGATGCGCTCTGCCAGAAAAAAGATGCCTTATGTGTTCTTCCGACAGGTTTGTATTTTTGAAAACAGTGTATCACCCCATGGGACCATGATATTGATTAACCCACAGAGGCATTTAAATTCGCAAGCTGCACTTAAACACAATATAAGAGATGGTAATTGACATTGGGCCGATACGTACGTCGTACCTGATACTTTCAGTCTTAACTTTTGGATGATATAATCTTATCAAACTAACCTATTCTCAGGAAGCGGGAAGTCTCTAATTTTCATAGCAATGGTACTGGGTATGAAGAAAGTTTATCGTGCAGATAACTTCATCGGGATTGTCGTCTCACCACTTGTTTCTCTGAACAAAAATCACGTGTCAACTTTTGATAAGGTTTCGAGCGAGTGGACGAATGAATCCAAATTCTCCACTAAAAATACAACATAATTGATTGAAAACCATAAAAAACAAGCAGTCGTGCGCCTAACGATTGATCAAGATTTGAATACATCAAATGTGTGCCGTTACAACTTTCATCATATATATTGCAAATAAAAGAATAAACTTACTTACAATAGTCTAAGTCAACAAATATTTCAGTATGGACTCAAGTACTTGGATCTTAACGGCAGCCAACGATCAATAGATAATGATGATGTCCCTGATATCATAGTCACCAACCCGGAAATGTTGAAAGAGAAGAGAAAGGTCTGTACAGTCATTTTCATTATCGCGGACTAACTTGTGGACCGTACCTGAAATACCGTTAAAAATAAAATTGATTGAAAATCTATTTATATTGTTGTTAATGTGATTAAGAATGTATACACAAAATTCTGTAACCACAGAGTATTATTCCAAAAACACCTCAAATGGCCGGGTGCGTGCAAATCTATGATCAACACGTTTACTTATATTGTCTTTTTCAGGAGCTTAAGAAACTAAGCCATATCAAGAATGTACTGTTTGTCGTTGACGAGGCGCACACCATCTTGAGCTGGGGCAAGGAGTTCAGAAAGACATTCGCCGACTTAGATTATGCGATCAACAGTTTTAAGGTGATCTTATAGCACTTGCACTCTTTCATGCTCACAAATCACATACTACTCGCCACGGTAGTTAAAATACGGATTGCGATGTGAGATAAACTCTGCCACTTTGGTGGTAACTTTAGAATATACATATAAAGTATTAAAATATTTGATGAATTAACCATAATAATGTGATATATTAACCATCATGTTCACCCTAGACGAAGCCAACTGTTCTAACCCTGACCGCGACACTCACAACGTTGAACAAACATCAACTTTTTGAGCAGTTGGGTTTCCAAGAGGAAAATATTTTTCAGCTTGTAAGGTGAGACAATTTTTAGAATATTTATGCAGATATTATGTTATTTTTGTGAAACGAAACTTTTTCCAGTAATCTCTTAGTATTAGTAAGTAGAGTTCATTGCTAGCTTATTAATTAGGAAGTACTGTTTAAAAGTGAAACCAACATCGCAATTAGTACCGAAGAGTCCGACCATTCAGAGTGGCATGGAAACTGCAACAATTCCATCCATAAAAATGGTCGGGGTTCTTCTAGATACTGTCGTTATCAGATATTTAACTCATGACACAGATAAGAGGTTTCTGCTGTATAGGGGTTCGTTGACATATTACGTATAATCACTTTTTTAACAATTTTTAGGAACCCTGTATTGCCAAACATGACGTTTGTCCGTATAGAGGATAACTTCTCCGAAAGGCATGCAAGGGTTTTAGCAAACCTTTTGAAAACGAAAGAAGCGGAAGCCCCAAAATGTTTGGTGTTTACATATTCTACCAACGAAACTATAGTTATAAAAGATATGATATGGGAGGTCAGTTAATAATTATATATAATTATTAGTTCTTCGTTTTCTTATGTATTATCAACATTATTAGTGAAACGAATGTTAACAATTAGTGAATTAGACTCGAAGATTCGAACAAGTCAAAGATTTGTTCCATAAAGCATGATTTCATCAGTTATATTTAATCAGGAAACGGAGCCAGCCCTCAGGAAACATATAAACTGGTGCACGGCAGTAAACTCACAGGAGCTGAAAAATTATGTGGTGGATTCCTTGTTGAGTTCGACTAGCGAGACCCGAATCATGATCACAACGTCACTGCTAAGCATGGGGGTTGACATGAAAGGTAAATAAGAATGAGATCTCACGATACTTTAATGTACTCAAAGTTACATTATATTAGCATCAAATTACCGAAATCTTATTGGAATAAGATGCCAATTATTATTGGAATAGGATACAAGCCACAAGGCTTGAAATTTTTTGAATTAGTCCTGAACTTGACCATTAGCCTTCTGTTATCTTACATTTTTTAATTCGTTCCAACTTCCAGGAGTAAAGTACGTAATTATAACTAGAATGACAAATGATATCGAGGAATTGTTGCAGAGAGCAGGTTGGTAAGCACAAATTACAAAAGCACATGGTTTTATAAAATTAAGTCTGCCTCCCCCTTATAAGATTACCAGCTTCCACATTCTGGTTCAAGAAGTTTGAGAAGTTTAAATGATTTTTATTTTTAACATATCACCGAATCGGTAAGAAAGGTAATTATGTAAATCTTACAAGAGAATATGTAAAGAAAAAGCATGAATAAAGAAGTATACAAAGTAAATATTAATGTGAAATATTACAGAACAATAAATACCCAGGGCGTAGTGGAAGAGACGGCGAAGATTGTGTCTGTATTATCTTCGTCAAAAGAAAAAACTCAACCTCCAGTCCATTCGCGGAGACATTTAGATTGAACAGATGTCACTGTTGCAGAGTCCTTCTGAACAGGGTATTTATGGGTGAGCATTTACATTATCTTCATTCTATGGTGTACCGTATACTTAAAACCCTAGAATTTATGATTAAAGGTTGATTACGATCTGGGAAATATATTTTATTACAGAAGAGTGTTGTGGCCATTCACAATAAACCCCAATCTGTTGATTATTATCGATATCAATGATTCTGCAATTTAAGTTTTTAACTGACACGTTTTGATGTCCTTGTTTATTTACAGGTGTTTCTTCTCCATACAGTGGTGCAGATGTTTGCTGCAGCAATTGTTCCACGAACTTCAGAGACGAGATACCAAGAGCTTTAACAGAGGCTTCTGTATGTTCAATTTCAGCTGCCAAATTGTTTGCTAACGGTTAGTATAGAAATAGTGCATCTTTGCTAGAGAGTTTGTTCTTATAAAGGAGCTAAAACTTCTACCGATTAGATCCAAGTTGAAAACATAATTCAATTACGCTCTTCTACAAAATACTAAATGGTTTAGTAAGTATATCTCTACCTAAATATATTACTGTTATTGAGACTGGAATGTTGAGGTACAAGGAGCACAAGGAGCACGGCGTCAGTAGTTGAAGGACTTGACGCCAGCACATATACCTGCTCTGTTGTACCGAACTGTAATGTAGGCGTCCTAGCAAGCTTTCCAAAAGAGGTGGCTCAGTTTGAACATCATGTTGCACGATTTCGAGAAGTCCTGCAATGAAGTTTCTGATATTAGCGTGTCTCATGTGAACATACTTATAATTGAAATAAAAGAGCCACTACAACCCAGTGCTCCTTTATCAAATTCATTAATTAAATATCGAAAATTACAAAGTTTATACAACACATACAATGCAATCTATCAGTATCATTACAAACCATTATCTAGATATGTCACATTCTGACGATTTCTAAAGCATTTCTATACAGATCACAAAAAAAGAAGGATGACTACCGACGATAAGACATCCCTGACGAAGACTCTCGAGGAAGAACGGCAAGCGATGATCGAGGGCACCCTCAATGTGGCGATAGCTCCTTGTCCTTTGACAAACGGGCTGATAAAGGCTATTGTTGACAACAGCCAGTACTTGTTCTCCATCAGCGATGTCGAAAAGATAGTATCTCACAAAAAAACAGCTGCAGCAGTTCTACAAATCCTGTCAGAGGAGATGGGGGATATAGAAGAAAACATGGAGATGGGTTAATTTCTAAAAGTAGAGGTGCATTGATCGAACAATCCGCAGATTAGAAAACTCTGGACCTATTAATTTTTTGTAGAGGATAAGTGAACTGTGGGCATTTTAATACTACTTTATTGCACTGAATTGATCTTATTTATCTTCGTGCAAAAGTTATGTTTTCAAACATTTTACCAACTTCTCTAAGATATAGTTCATTATTATAGCAGCTTAAACGTTTTAAGGGGATGGGCAACGACCAATTAACGACAGTGGATGACCATTTGCATTAATGTGATAATGTCTTTAATGACCATCAAATTTAATGACAATGTATTAGCAAAAAATACTGACGTTAATGGTCATTTTTTTCAGCACTTTATGGAACATAAGTTAGGGCACCTAGACTCTCATTTTATCTAATATTAGCAAACATAGCTATAATTATAGGTCTTTCATGAAGAGATTTTATTGAGAAAATTAAAAGGCTAAGCTTCTTTGGTTAGGTGCAGTACAGAATTAATCTAGACACTTGAAAAATTAGAGAAATCGAACGTTCTTAAAATACAATTTATAATTAGCAACTTATTCTACAGACGAGTCAGTTCTCGAGACTGTTAGAAGATCCATCTACTGTGGCCTTTATCGTAAATACATTTATATCTTTATATCTTATTATTATCTATTATATTAAGACTGGTGTAACCCCTAGCCTACTCACAGTTTACTTGATTAAGCCAACGAACGAACGATCCATATCCCAAGATATGACTTTTTCTCTGTTCCTCACCTGCAAAGTGGGCGTAATGTGTTAAGGGTTAGAAGAATTGTTATCATAAACTTAATATTGTAATCATGGTATTCACCAGGCAAACCATGTACAGTAACACCACGATTTACTGCTCAGTTTGCAGTTTGAGGGAAAGACAACTGTGCAATTAATCGTGGTGTATGATAAATCAGGGTTTTGATGTGGTTCACAAGCACTCAAGTTAGGGGTAAGTAGGGAAGCAGTTAGAATTTAGATATTATGAGAATATTAGAATTTAGAATAAGTCCATAACTCACCTTCGGGTTTCATCCTTCATGAATGCATAAATAGGTTCCCAGAGAGGTATTATACGTGTTGACCGTTATGGAGCTTCAGCAGAAAAGTATAAGGTCGAACAAAAATCCAGTATTATCTTTGACTTCAACACATCTAATAGAGAAATCAGATTCTGGTAAGTATAAAATAATAATAATAATAAATTGAAATTTAATAACACCGCTTTTAAGATTAAACTTATACTCAGCAGTGTTTGAACTAGTCATCCCAGAAAATATCATGAATACTGAGCTTAAAGATAACATATGCTTGAAAATATATCGTCAATACTAAAGCCCGAAAATGGTACTTAAATATATTATGTTATGCAAAGATCGAATTCCAAATATGACCACAATAGTTATCGATAAAGTTTTTCAAGTTCATCTGGAGACAGTTTGAAAAGGTAAGTTTTTATAAAAGCTTTAAAAGATTCCAAAGATTGAGCTGAGGTGATGGTAACAGGCAGACGATTGTAGATCTTTGGAGCCACTACAGAGAAGCTACGCTCACCAAACTTTGAATTACAAGAAGGAACAATAAGCTTCAATGAGTGACCATGATGAGCATACTTGAACATGTCCTGCAGATAAGTTGGTGCCAATCCTAACTAATAAAATAGCAATAAATATAATCCTTCGTGGACGGTAGTTGTTTCAAATATAAAAGCAAAATCTCTAGAGTCGATTAATTTATTAATATAATAGTCACGTCAACAGTGTTGACTTGACACTATAATAATTTTATTTGGAACAGAAGTTCCAAATAAAATTGGGGCGAAAGAGTCGGAGACTTGACAAATAAGGACACTTCGTTTATAGAGGAGTGTAAGTGTAATACAACAGCTTACACTGCAGCCAGTAAAGATGAGGACAAATAACTGAAGTACAGACATAGTGGACACTGGACGACTTGCCCATATTTGGATTAATCGTTAATTGTACGGGTAGATGACAGCAAAACCAAGTGTAAACAAAAAAATATTACATAGAGTTACATTTATAGTAATAGAGTTACAGGTCCAGTCGGAACGGTGCCTTTAAATTAATTGCTGAAATCACGAACGTATGTTCTACTTAAGGCTGTCTCCAGGATATGATAACCAGAGTTTAAAATGCGGGAGAAGTTTTAAGAAGAACGAAGTTCCAAATAAAATTGGGGCGAAAGAGTCGGAGACTTGACAAATAAGACCAATTCGTTTATAGAGGAGTGTAAGACTGTGTAATACAACAGCTTACACTGCAGCCAGTAAAGATGAGGACAAAATAACTGAAGTACAGACATAGTGGACACTGGACGACATGCCCATATTTGGATTGATCGTTAATTGTACGGGTAGATGACAGCAAAACCAAGTGTAAACAAAAAATATTACATAGAGTTACATTTATAGTAATAGAGTTACAGGTCCAGTCGGAACGGTGCCTTTAAATGAATTGCTGAAATCACGAACGTATGTTCTACTTAAGGCTGTCTCCAGGATATGATAACCAGAGTTTAAAATGCGGGAGAAGTTTTAAGAAGAACGAAGTTCCAAATAAAATTGGGGCGAAAGAGTCGGAGACTTGACAAATAAGACCAATTCGTTTATAGAGGAGTGTAAGACTGTGTAATACAACAGCTTACACTGCAGCCAGTAAAGATGAGGACAAAATAACTGAAGTACAGACATAGTGGACACTGGACGACTTGCCCATATTTGGATTAATCGTTAATTGTACGGGTAGATGACAGCAAAACCAAGTGTAAACAAAAAAATATTACATAGAGTTACATTTATAGTAATAGAGTTACAGGTCCAGTCGGAACGGTGCCTTTAAATTAATTGCTGAAATCACGAACGTATGTTCTACTTAAGGCTGTCTCCAGGATATGATAACCAGAGTTTAAAATGCGGGAGAAGTTTTAAGAAGAACGAAGTTCCAAATAAAATTGGGGCGAAAGAGTCGGAGACTTGACAAATAAGACCAATTCGTTTATAGAGGAGTGTAAGACTGTGTAATACAACAGCTTACACTGCAGCCAGTAAAGATGAGGACAAAATAACTGAAGTACAGACATAGTGGACACTGGACGACATGCCCATATTTGGATTAATCGTTAATTGTACGGGTAGATGACAGCAAAACCAAGTGTAAACAAAAAAATATTACATAGAGTTACATTTATAGTAATAGAGTTACAGGTCCAGTCGGAACGGTGCCTTTAAATTAATTGCTGAAATCACGAACGTATGTTCTACTTAAGGCTGTCTCCAGGATATGATAACCAGAGTTTAAAATGCGGGAGAAGTTTTAAGAAGAACGAAGTTCCAAATAAAATTGGGGCGAAAGAGTCGGAGACTTGACAAATAAGACCAATTCGTTTATAGAGGAGTGTAAGACTGTGTAATACAACAGCTTACACTGCAGCCAGTAAAGATGAGGACAAAATAACTGAAGTACAGACATAGTGGACACTGGACGACTTGCCCATATTTGGATTAATCGTTAATTGTACGGGTAGATGACAGCAAAACCAAGTGTAAACAAAAAAATATTACATAGAGTTACATTTATAGTAATAGAGTTACAGGTCCAGTCGGAACGGTGCCTTTAAATTAATTGCTGAAATCACGAACGTATGTTCTACTTAAGGCTGTCTCCAGGATATGATAACCAGAGTTTAAAATGCGGGAGAAGTTTTAAGAAGAACGAAGTTCCAAATAAAATTGGGGCGAAAGAGTCGGAGACTTGACAAATAAGACCAATTCGTTTATAGAGGAGTGTAAGACTGTGTAATACAACAGCTTACACTGCAGCCAGTAAAGATGAGGACAAAATAACTGAAGTACAGACATAGTGGACACTGGACGACTTGCCCATATTTGGATTAATCGTTAATTGTACGGGTAGATGACAGCAAAACCAAGTGTAAACAAAAAAATATTACATAGAGTTACATTTATAGTAATAGAGTTACAGGTCCAGTCGGAACGGTGCCTTTAAATTAATTGCTGAAATCACGAACGTATGTTCTATTTAAGGCTGTCTCCAGGATATGATAACCAGAGTTTAAAATGCGGGAGAAGTTTTAAGAAGAACGAAGTTCCAAATAAAATTGGGGCGAAAGAGTCGGAGACTTGACAAATAAGACCAATTCGTTTATAGAGGAGTGTAAGTGTAATACAACAGCTTACACTGCAGCCAGTAAAGATGAGGACAAAATAACTGAAGTACAGACATAGTGGACACTGGACGACATGCCCATATTTGGATTAATCGTTAATTGTACGGGTAGATGACAGCAAAACCAAGTGTAAACAAAAAAATATTACATAGAGTTAGATTTATAGTAATAGAGTTACAGGTCCAGTCGGAACGGTGCCTTTAAATTAATTCCTGAAATCACGAACGTATGTTCTACTTAAGGCTGTCTCCATGATGGTAACCAGAGTTTAAAATGCGGGAGAAGTTTTAAGACAAATAAGGGGTGTATAGAGGAGTGTAAGTGTAATACAACAGCTTACACTGCAGCCAGTAAAGATGAGAAACAGGTCCAGTCGGAACGGTGCCTTTAAATTAATTCCTGAAATTAATACCTTTAAATTACAGTTTAAGCCAAAACGAGGATGAGAATGCCAAACTTTCGACAAACGAAATTACCAGTATCAATTTATTAAAGTAGGGCCGAAGTTGCAGAAGTTATTTTTTATCTAGACACTTATTTTACTTCGGAGTATTCCAACAGCCATATTGTTACACAAGTGCAACCAGCCAATTACAGGAAGCCGAAGGATTAAATGAAATGATGAAGAGGGTCACGAGTCACGACGCAAAACTTAATGACAACTGACAAGGCATACACATAATGGTCATCACACATGAGTGCAGACGAATTAACTGTTATTGTTAACTTAAAAAGCAATGTGACATTCATTCCGTTTACACCGCAAGCATTTTAAAATAGATCTTTATGTGGCCAAATAGTTTCATATCTTAAAAGCTTTGCAACCTTCGGCAAATAAAATAGGTCCATATATGGCAAAATAATTTCAAATTAAAAAAGCTTAGCAACACTACACAAATAAAATAGATCTATATATGGCCACATAGTTTCATAGTTAAAAAGGTTATAGCAACCCTCCGCAAACAATTCATCTTAGCAGCACACAAATATTCTGTACAATCACGTATGGCGCGGCGCTTTATTATGGAGGGAACTGACTGAGTTCCCTTTTGGTTTGTTATTGTTTGCAAAACGGCTATGACCCCCTGTAGCGTCTTCGACGCTACAGGGGGAGCCGCGCACTTCGTGCGCGGCGGGTCATACAACGTATGACAACTTTCACTGGGAAGCGTTTTTTAGTTTTACCCTACACGTTGCATGTGGCGTCATTCGGCCGGATCCCAGCAAGCAAAAATACGTCGACCATCACAGGACGACGCCAGCACTCTCTATGCTCGTCGAGCTCCGATTGTCCTGTGACGAAGTAAAAACGAAGCCTGAGGTCCTCAGGTAACATCGACCACCGATTGAAAATTCAGAGATTTTTTTGACATAAAGGTCAAATGTAAAACTAAAATCTTGATGTTAATTGATTGACGACGCGACGTCAACTTTTGAGCACAGCGCGAGCGGCGGCGAGCGCATGCGGAAAAGGACCGCGTAGCTAGTCAAGATGTTGATAAATATTTGGCTTGTGGCGCGATGTGTTGCTTTAAGTCTAACTATAGCCCTCTCGCTTGCAGTTACTGGGCCGCGCTCAGCCTGTCATTCCGCCTAATCTCTATTAACAACATTAAAGCCTGGGGTCCTCAGGTAAGCTTGCAGTAGCGCGCGACCGCCGGAGGCGGAAATGACCTGGTTAGCTAGGTAAACGCGATGTGCCTTGTAGGATGAAATCCTACTAGCTGACGCCACTCGCAGCTGTGCTGCTCGCTGTACGTCAGCGATCGAAATTTATACGCGTATCACCCGTTAAGATGTGCCACCCGACGTGCCACACAATTTTTCTCATTGCTCGTCGCACGTCGACGAACAACGAAGCTCGTTGCGACGCGCAATGAGCTGCCAGGCTAGGACATCGTCCTGGTCCAACAAATTTTGGCGAGCGATTTTCTCCAAAAATTTAATGAGGGCGCCGACTTCCACTCTGGCTAGGTTTCTTTTTACCCAGCGCGCGTTCCTTAATGTAGGTAGTGCGCCATCGACAGTGAGCCGCGCGTGCCGACTGTAGGATGGTTTTTTAGCGCTAATTTCGGCCAGCACAATTTTCTTCAAACAAATAGATATTAAGTATCCTTCCCGACCTCCGATTGCAACAAAAAATGGTAAGCTTACTCATAGACTTACAAGAAAAGTGTCCGAAAAGTTTAAAGCATATCCAACCATCAGACATTATGTTACAGCTAAAAGCAGCGTATTTTGCTCCATTTTGATCACTATATCAACTCCGATATCCACCAAATTTTTCGGACAGTTGTGAAAGCCCTATTGGAAGGTCTTCGCCAATTTTCAGAATGATCTCATTCAAGGAACTGAAGATATATCCAAATAATACGACAAAAATCAACGAATTTGGTCAAATTTGGTCAAATTACGCGAGTTTTACAGCTAATTTTGCTCCAAAAGCCGCGCACCATCAAATATGGCACCTAGGCGAAACTCACTGATCTTTCCAAAAAAGGTATGACAAATTTAGTATTGTGAAAATTCTCACAGTCTCTAGAAAACAGTGGTACAAAAAATTTTAAAATCCGAGCAAGTTTATTTTTATGGTGCACCCCCTACTTAATGGGATGAAGTAAAATTAGGTAAAAAGAATCCACTGACTTGGCCAGAGTGCTTTCATAAAACTCTATCACTAGCTTGGCGTTGTAGGATTATATACTTTAATTTCGGATCGAGTGAAGCGAGTGATACACATTACTTTGATTAAACTCATGCTGATCACAATACAGTACAGGGAAATGGGTAACACGGCTTGCAGTCGCAGCTGCGGCTCCTCGCTGGCGGTAATATTTCAATGAACAAGAATTAAGAAAAAGAGAATTTAAGAAAAAGAGAATTTTATTTGCCACAGAATAATCAATACATATAATATACTTCAAAAAAAAACTTCAAAATATATTGCCCCACCGCGAGCTGTTTACTCAGAATGCGCGAACGCGTCCACATAAAAAAATTTGGCGCCCTACAAACTTCGGTAGAACTTGATTTGCAACTGAACGCTCGTAGTTTACTGCGCGCGCAGCTTTTGCCGTGTGAAGTTCAACATTAAACATATATAACTATTGTTAATATTCATACTTGATACTGCATTTAATCTTTAATTATTGATGGAATTTATGATGTACAATTGTTGGTTTTTATAGGACTTAGTATGACTATGCCGTTTACATTATAATGCATATTATAAATAATACGACCCTATAACATCTTATTTACAATTTCAAACATGTTACGTTGTAAATCAATGTTTGTATGTACATCACTATTTGTTCCGTATTGAAGTTGATTCATTTGGTTGCTTTTATTTCTCTTTGAAGATATAACAACCTTTTGCAGTGTAATTTACTAAACAAAAAGACTGTTTATATGAATTATTCATTATAACTTTGTAATTTTATCGCGCGCGTCTTTATACATTATATGTGATTATGATATGTTTAATGTTGTAAGTTTTAGTTATTGATAATTTTTATTAAAGCTCAAAATATTGATTGAAATGATAATATCACAAGTAAATTCCAAAAATCTATTTGCAATCACAAAGTTTCATTAAGTCAGTAGCCCAAAATCATAATATGTAAGGATAAATTTATACTTCTTAATCTTTATACTTGTTTAAAAATGTATGGACATTTCCATACATTTTTTGATAAAAATTGTTACAGCATGTTGTTCATAACGTTTTTTTTGTCTACGAAAAACATCCTCTTGTAATTTTATTTTCCATTATTCAAGTAAAAAATAATTTATTTTGGATCATTAGAGCACGCACTACGCCGCGCGTTTATAACTTTACGAGAAAGATATTTAATTTAGTCAAAATATTGGTTGCGCGTTTACTCACACGTGTTACGTACTGCATACTGCTAATGATCGAGATTTGTTTCGTTTGTCGACTCACCAGCATTGTATTCTACAGCTTGGAGTTTGGATAACTCCACCGAACTTGGTTTTTATTGTTGGATATTTGTGCATTGTATTGACATGACGAAATATTTTTATTAGGGTAATAAGTCGACTCTGCCTTTGCGATGGCATCTAACTAAATGCCTGATACCTATTTCTAAGCCTGGTTTAAATTGGTAATACTAATAACGTAGCACACGTTCCTAGATTTTGAATGACATTTTACTACAGTTCTTAAGTTTGGGATGGAATGAAAGTCTGCACGCTCCAAATTATTTCATTTGTGCCTGATTTTTGTGTTAAATTGTAAATCAAGCTCTGTTTAGGTTTGCTTTGTTGTTAGCAGTATTCTTCGAAATTCACTTCGAAATGTGATGCAATTGGCGGAGTGAACAGGTGTTGAGTATCACGAACATTCTTATTTTTCTCACATTCCATATCTGAATAATGTTGTTTTATAATAACCAATCGCTAAGGCTGCCCCCGCTTTTATATTGATTAAGTAGTCTGCCAAAATGTTTCTAATATGAATTACCAGTTTTAAACATATATTACAAACATCCCAATTTCTAGCTGGAACAGAATGACTCTTGGAACAAGTAGATTTCCTGACAGATGTTATTGAATTCTGAACTAACATCCGATGATCGTTGTCAAAAATAGGTAAGCACTTTTTTAAAGATTATGTTTTTTGTTATGATACGTACAATACCTTAAGAACGACGAATTTAGTCTACAATAAATTTAGTCAAACTTTTCGTGAGACTAAATTTTCGGCGTCTAATTTTAAAGGAGACCAAAATATCAGTTGAGCATGTTTGACATAAATAGTGAATATTATTAAGCTTACATGGTTCATAGGGCTTTGTAATTAATATAATGACATCACCGTTTTAAAAAAACCGTACCAAAGTCCTATTGCACTTAAAGGGTTAGAGCTCCTCTTGGATATCACATTTTTAATCGATCAATCCCAATGCATGCTCTGTTGAAACGGCTGGGTGATCACATCGACATAAACAACGTCGTATGGAATGGAAACTGGTCTCGAAAAGTCGAAAAATGTTATTAAAATTGCTGTAGACTAAAAATTTGCGAAATTTGTGACAAAAATCATAGTAATCAAAATTGCGGTAACCAACTTAATTGTGAACCAAATTTATTGGCCCTAAGGTACGTACAAGGTTCGACTGGGATCCCAGTTCCGGTCCAGGTTATCATGCCGAATCAGCAGCGGATACCAGGTTTTAGTGTTCGAATTAAGTGCTGGTTTGTTGTGGTGAGCTGTGATCGTAATCAGAATAGGATACCCAGGTTGTAATTATTAATCAACGCGTGCTACCCTACGCTACATCCTCATTATCTGGTTTGTCAGCAAGTCTAACTCTCATCGTCCGAGTCCTCTTTTTTCAAATTGTTCAAGTTAATATAACCAATAACCATTAGGTGTGAATTTGAGCTGATATTTCGAAGTATATATGGTAACTGGCCAGACCTTACAATGCCGCTTGTCGTCGTGGGACAGAAATCAGCAATCTATCTAAGTCGTCCCTAGATATATAATAAAGTCATAACTAACAGATAGTTTAAACACAACGCTGCCGTTTAAACTTTCTTTAACAAACAAAATTATAAACCCTGCATTCTGCGCCAATTTACGTACGTTACGTTTTTGTACGTTTTGGTGAGTTTGGCAGGGCGTGCTCAGGACAACTGCATCGAGTGCGTCCTCCTCCAGCTCAGCATTGAGTTATCGTTTGTCGGAGTGTAGCCTGGAACCAGTGGCGTGTCTGCGGTACTGTTCCAAGAATCTGCCTAGACCAACTTTGAAACTGTCTAGCAATGTGGTACTCCGGAGCTCCGATGGGAGCACGTTGAAGAGCTGAGCTGCTCTAACTCTAAAGCTGTTGTCGTAATCTGTTCTTACCGACAACTGTGCGCTTTTGTTCATGCCTGGGATCTCTGCCTTAATTCCATGCCTTTGATGAGACTTGAACTCGAAACCCGTATCGTTCGGAGCATGTTCATTAAGAATTTTCCATACATGAATAATAGAATTACGCTCTCTCCGCCTCTGAAGAGACATAAACTTAAGCTTCTTCAGCCTGTCCCAGTACTGGAGATCACGACAGCCAGATATCTTTCTAGTAAAGGATCTCTGTACAGTCTCCAGCTTTTGTATCTCTGTGACTTTTGCAGGGTTCCAGACTGGACAGCAGTACTCTAGCTTGGAGCGAACCATGCTTTTGTATAAAGTCAGCATGACTACTTGTGACCGGTCTCTAAAAGCACTCTAAAAGTCCAAGCCGCCATTTTTCTAGCTCCTTGTGCTCTGTCAAAAGCAATATTCCTAAGATAATTTAAATCATATCTATTATTAAGAAATAAATTCCGGCAACATAATTCGCGCTTTATCAATGAAAACAGGTTTTACTGAGGTCGTCTCTCCCTGGCATCTGCAAACTATGAACTGCAAAAGCCAGGGAGTTTAGGGCAGGTCCATTATCTGGACCCCTCAGTATATGACCAAGCTTTCTCCATCGACTTTTCTCCACTCAAGCTGAGAGTGGTTCACTGAGAGCTCACAAATACGCCTGTTCTGTGCAAGCGGGACTCTCGTTCTGTTCTGTACACTCGGAATACCAGAGACGACTCAGGTTGACTTGGTGCTCATGCTCCAGGAGCCAACTCCCGATTTCCGTAAAAATCTGTGACAGAGCCCGGTTCCGGGTTCCGCCCATCTTTCTCAGATAACACACTTAGACACAAAATGATTTTGAGAGTGCTAAGCTGCTAAAATTCAAGTCTAATTTTTTGACTTGTTGCTCCCATCCCAGTTACCTTGGACTGAGGACTCCTCTCCCTCGCAAAAACATATAGCACTGAAGTATTTTGTTTCTTGTTCTGATTTGAAACCGTAAATAAAATCTTGGACTAGTTGACATTTTGGCCAAGTAGACTTAAAACAGGATTAAGAATTATATTCCGATAACCGGTCGCGGTTAGTAGTTGCTTTACGAAGGTATTTGCAATGCCTGTATCAGCTTATAATATATACCAATTCTGAACCAACTGTGTGAGTTAAATTAAAAGAGCTGGAAAACCTGCCCTGCTATTTCGCAAATTCATCCTCTTAGGCGAGAATTTATTGTTCAAGACTACAGCAAGTGTCACAACAAATCCCATTTCCTAATACTTTTACAATTGTTTGTACAAGGGCCGGGCTGAAGTCAGTGACACATACTTAACTTAACTTGATACAAGTTGCTATGTCGAATTTGTTCTCCACTAGTAGAAGTGTTGGGCAATCTACCGTGCAAACCTCTTATTAAAGCCCGATATGTTTTGACCATTTCTTTGCTTGGATATAACTTGTTGTGGAGTTTCTGCATATCCCGTAGCAGTCTATCAAGTTTTTCGATATGGAATTTCTGGTCGCGTGGTAAGTTTCCTGCCGCTGTTACCACTAGCTCAGATCGATCTTCTAATACGGCGGAGTTAATGAATCCGAGATTTTGGGACCAATTTGGAACCAATGATACGGTTTTGATACGGTTTTGATACGGTTTGGAACCAACGTTATTTTGACTATATTTTGGATCAAAAATAGATAATTATGGTTGTACGGTGTAGGGGGATGTGTTTACTAACTATTTTGACGTCAAAATTGTCGCCAGAGGCTCCCTGAGTCATGGAATGAACGGAATGAACAAAAATGAACCAGCTTTTTGATACGGAAATGGAATCAAGTCTCTAGTGGGCGTTCTGGGAGTGCTAGGGCCACCAAACTTTGTAGGAACACTATAAGAGTCAATACCAAACGATTCCGACCTGTTTTGGGGCAATCCGACGAGTTTTAGAAAACAATTTCATTTTTGTCCATTCCGTTCATTCCATGACTCAGGGAGCCTCTGGCGACAATTTTGACGTCAAAATAGTTAGTAAACACATCCCCCTACACCGTGAAACCATTTCCAGCACTCTGAGACTACTTTAACAGACTAAAATGACCGTATCAAAATGCCTCGAAAACCGTATCATCTGGTTCCACAATCTCGGATTCATCTTCTGATGCGAGCGCAATTTGATTTTTTCAACGAAACTAGACAAACTTCAACATTCGTGACTAATTTTAAACGCGCGCACCGCGACGCGCATTTATTTTTTAGGCAACATTAACCCGATCTGATCATAGCCATGTGTGATGAAATACCTTAGTTTATTTAATTAAATTTGGCGAAGTAAACATGACTTTTTGCTCTGAAAATTAATAGAGAAGTATAACCCAACTTTATCAAACTCTACGCATCGGAAACTGATATTAAAAATTATAACTTGTAAGTACTAATGTTAGCTCTCGCTTAACTAGACCATTTTCAGCTCAGATATTATGTTAAGTTACGTGCTCAAGATTAGAAACAACTTGCATCATTGATGTGAAAAAGACCTGGGAGAAACTCCTTCTTGCCACGCGTGATGAGTGATTAGCTAAAATCGAGCTGATATGGAAAAACCCACTGACGTGTGTCATCTCACCGAGACACTACAGACATGGTGTGTAGTTTATACTTTTGGAAATTACACATTACCTCACTGGAAGATTTACAGGTTATAATTGTGGGAAGTCTCTATGTTTAATAACCCTTAATAATTCTTGGTTGACTATTAAAAATTATTTTCCTCAGGGAACGTGCGAAGGACGAAGTCTAAGAATTGGAGAATAACGTCAGTAGAGAAGCAGCTAACTTCCCCTGTACCCAAGCATACCAACGACGTTAAACAATAGACATGAAGAGACTCGATGCCACCGCTGACCCCCTACGAAGTACTTGTGCTCGGAGGCAGAAACTGGCATCGTTTAGGTCGAGAGCTAAAATGTAATCCTCGTGACCTGGATCTGGAGCAACTACAGCACAGCTACCTTCACACTACATCAGATTCGAAATAAGACTCAACAGAGCCTCGTATTCTCCGCACAACACTCTCTTGATAACATTAGTCTGAAAAAGTTGGTTAAAGAACTTAATCCGGACATTAAGAGGCTGTGGGGATGTACGGATAGTATTCGCCATTAGGAAACACCCTTCAATCGATAATACACTAGTGAAGAATTGAAAACTGGAAACCCTTGATGTAGGAAAACAGAGGTGTAATGGACCTGGCTGCAAAACTTGCCCGTACTGTTTGACAAGGACTCAAAGATCAACAACATGGACCTGGTGCTAGACGGAACAAACAAGGACAAACATGTTATCTATGTTGCCCAGTGCCAGCTATGTTGCACACATTTGACCGCTTTTACAATTTAAGCTGGTATGAAGAAGAGATAATATTTTGCTTTTAGTGTTACCGTCACTACTGTAACGAGATTTCTTAGCGTTATCAATTTACAGTAATGAGACAGAACAGTTTTAAGACTGATTAGTGAATTTTTGTTTAATAAGTAGTGCTAGTTACTGCTAATCAGTTTTACTAAAGAATATTAAATTTTGCCGGCTAATTTTTACGTTTGATTTAATAAGTTATGATGATTATATATAAATTTTACTTGATATAGTGCTTATCTTAAAGTTAAATGTTTTTATAGGCTCTTAAGGATGTAGTTTTACGAAGATTTCAAGCCTTACGATGTGTGTTTCCCTTCGTGTCCAAAAGAATTATAAGTTGTGAGAACTCTACATGAAACATTACAACACAGCATACCCTGTTAAGAGCATTGCCGTTTTACCATATTGTACCATCAGAACAAATAATTCTTCGTGAACAATCTCTAATATCGACTGTAGAGTGATTCATCACGCTTGATACATTATTACGCTTGATACATTATTACGGGTATTACGCAAGTCCCAAGGTCTGTGATTTAATCCTAATATGTAATAGTTGCAACTGGGTTAAGAAGCGGTCATACGTAATTAAGGTTGAAATAATTTGTCCAACCATCAAATTCAACGATAAAAGAATATAATACTCTAACCCGAACTGCTAACTAAACGAGAAACTATGCTTCCTAAGAATAAACCCATATATTATTGAAATTATTATTAAACCCATATTGTAATATTGACGTGATCGAGACAGTTTATTGCCAGGCAAGCATTTTAACCCCGTCATGAGATTACAATTACATCGTAATCAGTGTCCGAAAATTGAAAATGCATTGATTCAAGTTGGTTTCAACTGTCAGGGGCTTTACTTGGCGGCGCACAGCCTGTGATTCCGTAAAATTATTCGACGGTTTATCATGTTCATGATCATAATACATGATACTAATTATAGACTTGTATTGGGTCCCCCGGGTACCGGTAATCGGGGACCATTCAAATAGTGTTAACGGTAACAGTACACAGTAACAGTAAGTAATTTAGCACGCTTGGCCAGTCTATCAACAACTAAGGTCAATGAATCATGCATGATTACAGCACTTACAGCGCTCAGTCTTTCATTCTGCCGAATTTATTTATTCGGTTTATGAAAATGCAAAATGACAGCCCGGTTTATAAACATCATATAATAGCCTGGAGTCCCCGCTCCCAGGTAAAATACATAAATAAGGACCGCCAAGGAATGAAGAACGAAATTTAATATTATCATTACCTAATCGATTACAAATATTGCGCATTACAGATTCCTGAAATTAAATGTAAAATGCAGTTTAACTCGTGCATCTCATAATAATATGACGATATATTCATATTAGAATTGTAATAATGCTACATGCTACGCGCGCTAAAATGATGAATGAGCGGTCTGCTCATTACTATATTTGGGCATTAAATGACGTCAAGCGGTTAGTAACCATATCAACGCGCAGTAACCATAGGTACGCGCTCGATTCAATTCCAGTATATTGCGACGAGTGTTTACATCACTAAATTAGCTGTAACTTTGTGTGATTATGGACGATCGTGCTAAATTTAAGGCGCTGTGGCTAAAATCGTCCACTGAACCAACAGGTAAAATTTCAGAGAGATCGTCCCCAGCGCTCATTTTCACCTCGCGAATAATCAGCTCGCACTGTTAGTTCATCTATCGTTCATAAGATGGGGTACTCTCAATAATCAAGTACATGAGTACCCGACCCGCCGCGCCACGCAAGCACCACACTGCAATTGAAATTGGAGATGTAAGCATAATGGGCGCGGGGACGGTTTGGTGGAGGGTTAGGGTCAACGTTTATACATTATAGGGTCAAAGTTAGGACTAGAGTTGTACACTATTGACATTGTGAGGGTAATGGTTAAGGTTTATTACTAGCGACCTTTTCATCTGACCACAATATTTCAAAATGTTATGTTGTATATCACGTGACAAATTTAGCCGAGGGTCGGAAGTCGGAGGTCGGAAGTCAGTGGACTCTGTTGGAGTCCGGCGGACTCCGAGCGGAGTCCGCCGAGCTGGCGGACTCCGCCAAGCTCCGCCAAGCTCCGCCGGATTCAAGTCTGGCGGAGAGGTCCGGCGGAGTCCGCCAAGCACTCCGCCGGAGTCCGCGGCGGACCGGAGTCCGCCTAGTGGCTTAGTCCGCGGCGGACACTCCGCCGAGCCGCCGCGGAGCCGCTCGGAGTCCGCGGCGGACTTTAAAGTCCGCTCGGAGTCCGCTCGGCTCCGCTCGGAGTCCGCCAAAATGTACTCGAGTCCAGTGTAATTACATTTTGGCTTGCTCTAACCAGAGCCCTCTCGCTTGCAGTAGCGCGCGACCGCCGTAGGCACATGGCTATGTGAACATTTTGGCGGAGCGCCGCCGGAGTCCGCTCGGAGTCCGGCGGCTCCGCCGCGGACTCTACTCCGCGACGGAGAGTGCCGAGAATAAGGCCAAAAGATATGGCCGATCTGTTGTGAATTATTATATGTTGTCAACTGTTTTCTGTGGTTAATTTTCATTTGTTGTCAATATTCTTCAGTTATCAATTATTGTCACAGGGAAAGGTTTAAAGCAGAACCAGAACAAATGACAAAGAAACCCACATACATTTCTCGTGCATTGTATAACAAAAAAGACGCTGTATGCCTGTATTTATATTTCCACACGAAGGCTTTAGAAATTAGTTTGCATATGTACATGTACAGTGTAGAGTCTGGTACTATAGCGATTAGCACTACTAGACTAGCACTAAAAGTACCAGATTGAAAATGTCTCACCGAAACGCCCACAGCCAGAAACCATCGCAGACTAACAAATAATCTGCAAGGAAATTTTCGATTTCGGAGGAAATTTTTGGTGCCAAAGAGGAAATAACTGTTCAATTGTTCTCTTAGAATTGCTTATATTGCTTATACTACTTAAGGATTCCAGGCTGTTATGTTCATAAAATAGAGATTCAGCGAAATGACAGGCTGATTAACGGGTGATAATTTTACATTTTAAAATATTTGTTTCAAATATTGTTTCAAGACCGTCGATGAGTCCAACTCTGCGCGCGTCTTGGTAGTTTACAGTTTATAAACCTACAATGCAATTACAGGTTGACGGATGTTACATTTCGCCGTCGTTGCGAGAAGCATAATTGAGTGCGCGGCGCGGCACAGTATCGCGCTTCACATAGCCATGTGTCTACGCGTACTGCGTGACGCGCGGTCGCGCGCTACTGCAAGCGAGAGGGCTCTGGTTAGAGCAACATCGCGCTACAATTAATAAAGCCGAAATTTCAGAAGCAAAATAATTTTTATGGAAATTTCGGTCAGCGCAGTAAACAAACCAAAAACATTGCAAAACCAATAACAAATAACGGGGAAACTTCAAAACCGCGGACCGCATGGCAATTGGCGCGTTCATGATTTAAATATTGTAGGTTTACAGCCTACTAGGACGCGCGCAGAGTTGAACTGATGAACTCGTCGACGGTCCTGATATAGGGTCCCAATATATGGATCAAATATTTTACCATTTACGAGGACCACCCGTTAAATTCATGATTTGTGATTGAGCGCGCGCCTCTGCGTTACCCATGGTATGGGGTATGGGGACATCAGGCTATTAGGTTCATAAACCGAAAAGAGATTCGGCAGAATGACAGTGGACAGGCTGAGCGCGGCCTCTGCGCAACATCGGTACCGCTCAAGCTTGAGCCAGTGCAGTGAGCAGCAGTGACAAGTGAGCAGCAGTGAGCAGCAGTGAGCAGCAGTGAGCAGCAGTGAGCAGCAGTGAGCAGCAGTGATCGAGCGGCAGTGAGCAGCTGCAGTGAGCAGCAGTGAGCAGCAGTTTCTTTGCACTATAGTCCTCCTGTGTCATTGCATGGGGTGATATAGAGATTCGGCGGAATGACAGGCTGAGCGCGGCCTTCACATAGCCATGTGCCTACGCGTACTGCGTGACGCGCTTGTTTCACAAGTAGGATAGGATTTTGCCGCCTACGGCGGTCGCGCGCTACTGCAAGCGAGAGGGCTCTGGTTAGAGCAAAGCGCGGCCGAGTAATATCTGCATGCTTATAAACAGTAAAGACTGGGGTCCCCAGGTGATATGGAATATGATAAAATACGCGGCCATCGGATCGGGAAATTGAGCGGCCATTCACAAAAGAAAAGCGGCCGCATTTTTTGTTTTTTCATGTGGCAGTATTAATATTGAATATAAGTATTTACGGTAATTTCTAGTAAGTTTTTAAACTGTATGCTGTTTGTTGTAATTTTAGAGCATGATTGAGTGATTGACGTGTTTTGTTGGTCAATTTTACTTTATCAGTTGGTTTAATTTTTCTTATTTTATAATGGCTCACCGACCTGACGTTAATGTTATGTCATTAATATTGTGCAGTATAAAATGTGATTTAACTCTTACATTTACAACATTCAACAAACAGCATAAAAACGCTGAAAATTTGCCAAAAATTGACCCTTTGTTGAGGGCAACTTTTAGCAGGGTTGCATAAAAATGAAATGCATGGCTATTGTAGCATTTTTAGAATTTTAATTAATCGCACGTGCGAAAGGTTCAAATTTTGCTCATTCGTGATTTTGAACAAATTCTGCTTTGCCACGACAGTTCAATGTCATTATATATGAATTTAATGCCAACTTGAATGAGTATAAAGTGGCATATTCAGTCAGTGATCGACCGATATGCTTACCTAAACACAAGGAAATGTTTTTAAAGGAAAAATTTCGAAATCGTTGAAATCACCTCCTTATTAATATTAATGAAGTTATGAGTTTACATTTCGGCTTTGTAAAGTACCCTGACATTATGATCAAAAAGAGATGATATTTGACCAAAACCCATAATCATGGGTAGAGTGGACCGCTGCCAGTGTCTCTCTTTCCCAAACAAAAGGCAATAATATCAATTTGAATGACCGTTATCAAATGCAAAATGATACCGAGAATGAAATCGGTCGCTCGCTTTTCCCATTCATCTACAATTGAAATAGATTACATGTTATAAATCGAAACTTATTACAATTCGTAAGCCATGAATGATCATTCCCACTGATCATTCATGGCTTACGAATTGTAATAAGTTTCGATTTATAACATGTAATCTATTTCAATTGTAAATGAATGGGAAAAGCGAGCGACCGATTTCATTCTCGGTATCATTTTGCATTTGATAACGGTCATTCAAATTGATAACATTGCCTTTTGTTTGGGAAAGAGAGACACTGGCAGCGGTCCACTCTACCCATGATTATGG